AGGGTTAGGAGGCTTGTAAACTCGTGCCTGGCTTGTAAAATAGTGCCTCTATTTATAGAGAAAGGTTGGAGGGAAGGAGTTGATCAGATTTGCAAGATCACATGTTGTGGCTAGGTTGGATTGTAAATGAAGTAAGCTTGAAGATCATAGTTCCAATGAAAAGTACAAGGCAATCTAGAGTGGTTAAAGCCTTTAAACACAATGCTTCAGACTTTTTAGATGGAGTGTGATCATAGGGAACAAGTTAGAGGCTCAAGGAGTTGACATTATGTATAAAGCTTACTTTTCAAGAATGGCAATGGTGTCTTTCTTCCAAAAATGGCAAAGTGGCTTGGACAATTCCTTAACCACTTGGACCATAGCTCAATCAATTGTGTAAACATTACATTATGGAGTTATTTGCAAGTTAGAAGGCCTGCAAGGCAAAATTATGCAGCATAACATGGAGATTTGGTTATATGTTCATCATCAAAATGGCCTATAATTAAAGTTTATCATGCCAACTTCAAGTCTTCGAATCTCCTAGCTCAAAAATAATCACTTCAAGTTCTTGGACATTTTGGAAAGATTGAAACATTTTCTACAACCTTCATGTTGACCACTTTGGCTAAATCAACTTGGAACTTGGTGAAAAATTGCCAAGAAGTTGGGACAAAAATCTGACCTAAGTTGTTGAAAATTTCACTAAGTGTTTTGATAAAAATGTCATGTCTTCATGGGTCTATATCTCCTAATCCAAGCATTTTTTGGACATCAACCCTCCAGGACAAAGTTGTAGAATTCATCATGCTCTACAATTTTCATGTGGAAAGTTTTCCTTGAATTTGCATCTTAGTGAAAAATAGTCATGAAGTAATGATTTTCTTAAGGCCAAAAACACTTAGAATCTTTCTAAGTATTGGAAATCTTAACTTTTTGTTGACTTTTCTTGACTTTGCCGATTCTTGTTGATCAAGTTTGATATTTTGAACGTCTTGATGATTCTTGATCTTTAAAATTCAATGTTGACCAAAAAGTCAAAGTTTGACTTTTGTGTGATTGCTGACTTTTCATAAATTGATCCAAATTCCAACTATCAATCACTTGATTTTTAGAAATGACTTGAGCCATGAAATTAGGTCAAGATGTTGTGTTTGATTCCTTGAGATCATGCTTCAAGCCATTAGGTCATGTACTAGGTCAAAAGTCAATGATCAATCATTCTCAGTCAAAACTCTAATTTGACGATTTTGCCCCTTTGATGATTTGAGTGCTTTCTTTGAAGAATTATGATCAACCCTTGATCAACAATAGGGCATAATCCCTCAACGATGCATGTATGCGATATGAAAAAACACAATTATACAATACCAGATATGAGTCCTCAACATTATGCCATTCCAGACTAACAACATTGTCATACTGCAATACAACCTGCAAATCCTTCATACATCATTTATCCGACAATGATGCATTCAATCATAACATTTTGCATTACAACGCATACAACATACACACATCGTAATTCTCCCGATAAATTGTTAGGCTACTTCCATCAAAATGAGTTTCACGTCATAGAAAATATTTTTACCTTTTCAACGGTCCAAACGGCATGTAAAACAGACACCTGAGACAAAAGTTATTAATTTTTAAAGTTTTTAAAAATATGTCAGCTTCAGTGTGTCATACCCCAAATTTGTCCTACCTTTATTTAGTGTTCTATTTAAATAAATTGCATTATATGGTTTTATTTTTATAGGGGTGTAAAACATGGAAGAGGGGTGTAATTGACCCAAAATAGACCATCAATATCTGATGGCCCATTAGGTTTCTAGAGGTTCATTTCAAATTAATAAGGGGTGTATTTGTTTTTAAAGAAGGTGTGGATCAATCACTTTTTAATAAGGTCCATAAATTTTTTTTAAAGCCTACTTCAAGATTAAAAAAAAAGAGGGTTTGTATTTGTTTGGGTCAAAGGCCCATTAAAATTTCATTCTTTTTTTTAGGGTGTATAAAATATTTCTTTGTTGTTAAGGCCCAATATAAATTAGAAGGGACCCATATGATTTTTTTGTCCATTTTTAAATATTGAAGAGGGGGTGTATAGAGAATTTCTTTTTGTGTTTGTTAAAGTCCAATGAAATAAAACAATATGACCAATTACAAGTTTTTTAGATTTGTTTTAAAAAAATGTTTGGTTACAACATTATCATTAATCCTATTATTATCATAATTACTTTTAATTATTACTTATTATTTTTAAGTTTAATTAAGAGATTATGTCAGTTTAGATTATTTGGAAGACAATTATTAAAATTCAAAGCAAGCCCAGACCCAACCCAACACAAGAATGCACATTGTGCTGATTAAACAAAACACTTGCCTTTTTCCTCAAACTTATATTGTACGGATTAGTAAAAAAGAACGCATGCTTTAAAAAAGAACAAGTATTTTTTTTATTAATCCAATATCTTCACATTTTTAGAACAAATCAATTTCTTAAAAAAAAACAAATCAATACATAATGAACGAACTGAAACAGAAACAATATCATACTGAAATGGAAACAAATTCAAAATTACAGACACATTAAGTGAATTCCTAATATGCTAAAACACTATAAAACAGACAGAAAATCATTACAGTAGGGGGGAGTACAGTTTACAGGGGGAATTTTACAAAGAAAATCATTTCAGGCGAGGAGAATTGTTACAGGGGGGAAGATTTTCATAACAGAAGAGATTGGTGAATACATAATGTTCACAGAGAAATACACATAAAACAATAGCAGAGAATAAATTATAATTCACACAATCAATTCTACCAAAAAAACTATGCTCAAACCAACCTTCAAAACCGATCGACAAAACACGGAAATCACCAACAAAACTCGCACAAATTATACGGAAACACTCACTTAACCCTTCAACCCAACACGCCTCGAACTTCACCCACTGTAACCACCGAAAATCCGCAGCTAAGTCCCTCTGCATATACCCATCATGCATTTGAACCTCACTGTCAGCCTCATCAACAAACCTGTAAAAAACAATCTTCTCACAAACCACACATCCACGACAATGAACCAAATGCAACACAGAGTGGGGTAGATCACACAGAGGTGAAGTAGAATAACAGAGACGAAGTCGCATAGCAAACGCAAATTTGAAGGAGAGCATACCTGAAGAAGCTTTCAAAGTTGAAACAATGAATCAGTGGAAGTTTTTTTTTCATTTTTCAATATCTTATAATCTGTAACTCTCTAAATCATAGTTATTGGATTGGGGTATTTAGGGATTGTTGGGGTTTGGGTTTATTGTTGATTGTTTGTTGTTTTATCGTGTTCATCCATGGCGTTTTCGTGAAGGAAATAAAGAAATAGAGATAGATATAAAGAACCATGAGAAGCAGAAAGATGAACAAACACGGTTAGGAGTGTGTGTGTGTGTGTGTGTGAGAGAGAGAGAGAGAGAGAGAGTTAAAAATTACATACACATTAAGTGAATTCCTAATCTGCTAAAATACTATAAAACAGACAGAAAATCATTACAGTAGGGGGAGTACAGTTAACATGAGGGATTTTACAAAGGAAATCATTTCAGACGAGGATAATTGTTACAGCGGAAAAGATTTACAGAATAGAAGAGATAGGTGGATACACAATGTTCAAAGAGAAATATACATAAAACAATAGTATACAATTCACACAATCAATTCTACCAAAAAACTCTACTCAAACCAACCTTCAAAACCCATCGACAGAACACGAAAATCACCAACAAAACTCACACAAATTATGCAGGAACACTCACTTAACCCTTCAACCCAACACGTCTCAAACTTCATCCACCGTAACCACCGAAAATCCGCAGCTCAGTCCATCTGCATATACTCACCACACACTTGAAGCCCACTGTCAACCTCATCAACAAACCTGTAAAAAAAAATTGTTCACAGACCACGCACATCCACGATAATGAACCAAATGCACCACAGAGTGGAGTAGATCACGCAGAGGCGAAGTAGAATAACAGAAACAAAGTCGTATAACAAACGCAAATTTGAAGGAGAGCATACCTGAAAAAGCCTTCAAAGTTGAAACAGTGAATCGGTGGAAGTCTTTTTTTGATTTTTCAATATCTTGTAATTTGTAACTCTCTAAATCATAGTTATTGGATTGACGTATTTAGGAATTGTTGGGGTTTAAGTTTATTATTGTTTGTTGATTGTTTTTAATTTTTGGAATGATTAAAAAGAATTTTAAAAATGTAAAATTAATTCTGAATGATTTTGAGAGGTTTGATTAAGTAAAAGTAGAATTGATTTTAACTTTAAAATTAAACTTGAAACTAGAACTTATAATTTCTACCTCAGAAATTAATTTTAGATGATTTTTATAAATTCAATTCTCATAGAATCAAATCTAACAAATTCAATTTTACTTAAATCAATTATATTTACCGTGAATTCAAACACATCCTTAATATTATTATTATTTTTTGAATACGGTTTTGTTTCGGGTCACATACACCCTTTGTGGTTAATAATGTGATGACCATATCGATTGATCTAGTTAAGAGAGAATGATAAATTTTTACGAATACTGTAAATCTTATTTTTAAAATGTACTTTTCCGTTCCCCCATTTAAATTTCTTTTATTGTTATTCAAATCTATAAGAGATTTTCTCCATTATGACCAATATATCACCAAACCAGACAACATAATAACAACAACCATATGCATCATTATCCTAAATAGCCGTAGGTTGATTATTAGTATCTACTTTACAACAACTCTCGACTAATATTCATACAAGTATATTACCTATAGTAAATTAAAATTAACACAACTTGTGAACACATAAAAGAAACATTGGGTTGGAATTTTTCTTTCTACCCAACCATAAATGATGATATTAGTAATCTTATCATTTTTCATGATAACACTTTTATTTTTATATTTTCCTTTAAAAAAAAGAAAGAAAATTAAATTCTATTTGTAAAATGTGGCAAGCTAAGGTCAGTTACAAATCTTGCCACTTTTCATCGTGTTGACAACATTGACAGCACTAAAGTCAACAACATTGTTTGTCACTTTAGCCCTAGGCCCACCAAACCCCAATTGTTCCTCAGAATTTCTCTTTCTTTTCTCTGTAAACTTTTTTTCTTCTTTCAACCAAACGCCAAACAGTTTCAAACTATCTCTTCCATTTTCTTCACCTTCACCAACCGCATTTTGAACCGATTCACACTTTTTTTCTTTCATTATGCGATCGATCTGGTCGGGTCCCACGTTTAAACGGTCTTTTAGAAAAGCCACCAACTCATCGCACGTGTGCTTCGCACGTGCTAACTCCCAGCTCAATATCTCGTTTTCCTTTTTCAGTTTCTCGTTCTCGGACGATAAATTGACGCACTGTGGAGGTGTTGTTTCTACTGATCCAGGGTTCTTTGAATTTGAGGAAGAGGTTGATCGTACTGTGGAGGTGGATCCTACTCCGTTGTTGTCGTCGGAGTTTGAAGGAGAGTTGTTGTGGCCGCTGGTTTTTTCGGTTTCTGGAGGCTGTGACGACGGTTGTGATACGGTTTTGCGGCGTTTGATTTCAGTGAGAAGTTCTTTGTGGCCTCGCTTGAAATTTTCGTTTGCGAATTCCCATTTATCTGCTACAACCTTTCGGAATCCCTGCAAATTCAAAAGATGTGGTAATTGGTATTTTTTCATTGCAAAAATGACTGTCAAATAAATATCGGAAGCAACAAAAAAAAATGGAGAGAGGAAAAAGAACATACATATGTGTTGAGCTGGCGAACAAAGCTGGAGAAATTATTGTGTTTAAAATATTTCGGAAGCAAATCCCTTGCAAAATCCGCATGTTTCCACACAACAAAACTTTCACCACTTTCATTCCACGATATCACATCCCTCGTCGCAAAATCATCCACCATCTGATACGTCTTCGTCAAAAACGGCGCCGGCACCGATCGCTGCGACATTTTTTTCTTCCCGATTTACCCTTCACCTAATTAATAATCCTAATAATATTCTCAGAGAAAAATATAAAAATAAACCGAAGAAAATTTTCTAACAACTAAAGAGAAGAAGAGCGGTTAAGAATTCCCAATCCCAGCAATAGAAACCAGAGAGGAAGAATCTAGAATGAACTAAGTTTTCTGAGGGCTTTCTTTGACGATCAGAATCCATAAGTTTAAGCCACATCTGTGAACTCAATTTGGGTCAGAGTTACCATAATTACCCATACAATACGAAATTGGAGAATTTTGTGAGTGATAATATTCTCCTTGAAGAACCTTGGAAGAGACTCTTTTATAGCGGAAAAAACCAAACCAGACATGTTCCAATCTTAATAAGTGACGTGGGTTCTAGAAATTTTTAGAAGCACTAAGGATTATTATTTGGACTAAATGAAACCGGTTCCACACGTACACTTACATAGATGAAAATTTATTAAGTTAATATATTTGAAACCAGTTCCACACATGTGACATCTAGATAAGTTTTCTTTTTTAATTAGATAAAGTTATTAGCTAGATACATATGCATCATACTATAGATAAAATATTTTAAAGCTATCACACCGACTTGATTTTTTTAAGGAACCAAAATTATATATCACAAGCAGTGCTTAGAAGGAATTCAAACAAGTTTTATAATGTTAAAATACACTAAAAAATTCAAACAAACTTTATTATAACATGGAGTATCCAATGATAATAAAAATAGATATTTTTAATGTATTTTTGGTTCCTTTATCTATTTTAAAAATTAATATTTTGTGTCTTAAAATTTTATTTTATTTGGGATTTTTGTAATTTCTTTTATTTTGATTGTCTTATTAACGATGTGTCATAAGAACTGTTTAACGTTACATTTTAAAATATTTTATTTTAACGTTTTTATTTTAAGTTTTAAAAATTAATTTTTATAAAAAATTTAAATTTGCTTCTTAAGAGAAATCCAGAAACACTTGTAAGTGTATGAAATCTAGTTTCTCTTTCGAAACATTCATCTTCCTCTTTGAAATCATTTTATTGTGGTCTTCTTTCAAAGTATGAATTTGTAGCATTTCTTTGTTACTTCCCTTAATTAATATCTCTAAAATTAAAATGTCTCAGAAATCAGTTTCAAATTGTAGCTACAAAAATCGTTTATTGAGGTGTGAATGTCATTATGGTCTTGATGCTCTATTGATGATGACATATACTGATTCAAACCCAAGACGTCGTTTCTATAGTTATGGGATGTATAAGGTTCATTTTCATTTATGTTTCTTTTGGTGTTGTTCTCTTTTAATTTACAAACCATTGATATATCTTCATTCTACTCATTTGATCTCTCCAGCTGCAAGGTTATAAAAAGTGTAGTCATTTCGTTTGGTTGGATGAAGAAATTAACCCAAGAGCAAAGGAAGTTATTTCCTCATTACTACAAAATTTGAATGATGAGAAGCAAAAGATTAAAGATGCCAACATGAGAGATGAAGAAATAAAGATGAAATTGTTGAAGAAGCATTTGAAGTTCAACTTAATTATTACCATTTTTGTGTTAATTGCATTAGTTGCTTCAACAATAATGAAATAAGATCTTGGTTGAATTTTGTAACATTTATGGTTTAGGTTTTATGTTGTAACATTTATTTGTTAGGTTTTATGTTGTAAGATTTTTTATTCTACGTTGAAAGATATGTACTTTATTGTAGCATAAAATTACCACCAAAATACCATTTGACATTACTTTTAACATTAGCATAACAAAATGGTTCATATTACTTGTTCATAACATACTTGATATTATAACAGAATGGTTCATATTATTTGCTCATAACAGACCATATTATAATCAAAACAAAATAGTTCATGACAGACCATGTTACAATCAAAACAAAATGGTACATAATAGATTGCATCATTACAGACAAAAACAACACTGATCCATTACAAAAAGCATAAGCATTGGTTCATTACAGATAAAAATATTCAAAACTACTTAATGCATCTAATCTTGAGTAGCTTGAGGTGCCAAATGGGAGGAGGACCATGAAAATCCCAAGTGAAGTAAAGTTTGGGGACAAAAAAACTGGCTTAAAAATGGAGGGACTAAAAATTTAAAAACTTCAAAAATAGGGGGATCGAAAGTGCATTTAAGCCTTTTTAACACCGAAAATCCTCTCATTTCTTTTTAAATAACCAACATATTCATCAACTAAAGAATTTGAAATCACTTTCTAGTCTTCATACTAAAAAAAAGAGCAATAAAATTGAAGAGCATGAGTATCAATGTCGTTCAGATAAATGTTTAAGATCAACCGTTATAGGACAAAGATTCAAACTTGACCAAAAGCCTCACACTCTATGGATAGATTTGAATTATTCTCACGTCTGTCCAAATTGTCTTTAGTATAAATCCTTATTTTTAATCAATTTTTACGCAAACAAAGACGCTTTAATTGGTATTACCTTATTTAAAAAGAGCTCACGTTTTAGGTCCAAGACAATTTGATCTTTGTGGAATAGAATTTGATAACCATATTTTACTAAATAGTCAACATTAGAATCATAAATCCACGTCTAGCAATAAAAAACATTTTCGTACAAAATGATGTTATCTAACTGTTGGAAGCCCATATGACATTACCTATGAGCCAAACTCAACAATCTCCACCTCGACAAATATCAAACTCATTTAATTGCATAATTTCATATCCTAGTAACTGGGGGTGTCTAGTTCCTACTTAAAACTGAGAAACATGTAACAAGTTCAAAGAATATTTGAACTTGTCACTGGTGTCTGGCTTGATAAACATATTAATTGCATTCTCAAAAGTATGAACCTTTTGAAGTAATATTTGTCTGGACGCCACCAAATCTATGATCTTGTGGAACCTCACATCAATATGATTATTCCTTGCATGATACACCTGATTGTTCGCCAAATAGATAACTATATGACTATCGTAATGCAACTGAACTCCACCTTCCTCAACAACCAACTCTTTGACTAATCCTGTAAGCCACAATGCTTTCTTGGCAGCTTTATCTACTTCCATGTATTATGCCTCAGTTGTAGACATAGCTACTAAATATTGAATTAATGATTTCCAACACATAACCCCTCCCCCACAAGAGTAAATACATACCCTATTGTAGACCTCCTATCATCCAGATCATCTGCATAGTCATAACCCACATATTCCATAATTGATGAAACACCCTGTTATATGCTGAACATGATACCATGATCTACTTTACCCTTCAACTACCTTAGGATCCACTTGAATGCTTCCATATGTTTCTTCTCTGGCTTGAACATGAATTTTCACACTAGACTAACTGCTTGTGCCAAATCTAATCTTGTACAAACCATAACATACATCAAACAACCAACTGCACTGGCATAAGGAGATTTAGACATACCTTAAATCTTCTAGTCTGTCTTCATACACTGTTCCAAATATATCTTAAAATGATTCACCATTAGAGTACTCACATGCTCTACTTCACTCGTTCAAATCTGGTCAAAACACCTTCAACATAGTTTTCTGAGAACCATAATTTATTAGCTCCTCGGTCCCTGTAAATTTCCATCCCAAGAATCATCTTTGCAGAACCCAGATACTTCATATCAAACTCCTTACCCAACTTTGTCTTTAACTCATTTACATCATGCAAATGATTTGCAGCAATCAACATATCATCAACATAAAGTAACAGGAAAATAAAAGAACCATCACCAAGGCTCCTCACATAAACAAAACACTTATAATCACACTTTCTATAGCTAATCCGGAGTATGTATGAATCAAAGTGCTTGTACCATTGCCTTAGAGACTACTTTAAGCCATACAAAGATCTTTTCAATTTGCAAACAAGTCTGCCATGTCCAGTATCACTGAAACCCTCTGGCTGCTCCATGTAGATTTGCTCATCAAGATTACCATGAAGGAATATTGGTTTCACATCCATCTACTCTAAATTCATATCCCTGTTGGCTACCAGGGCTAATAATGACCTAATAGAAGTGTGTCTAACCATCAGACTAAAAATCTCACCATAATCAACCCCTTTCTGTTGTAAATACCCCTTTACAACTAAGCGAGCCTTTAAAATTTCCCCTTCTTTTTCTGATACCACTGGATTTTTCTTGTACACCCATTCTAAAGCAATGACTCTATTTTCTTGTGGTAGTTGAACAAGATCAAATGTCTATTTCTTTTTCAAGGACTTCATCTCCCCCACCATAATACACACCCACTTATATTTCTCGATGCTAAATAGAAGAGTCTCCTTGTTGTACCCCAAAATTTTCCCTCTCACTTATCAAGAATTTACTCACAAGATCTCCTTGGGCTCAAGACTGCACTAGGGTTTGATCAGCTTAAGACACCTCCTCAAACACTGATGACCAAAATTAGGGTTTGAGTTTGCACAAGTATTTTTTAACTTCCAATGCCCCATATGACTTTCATGGATCATTATGGACCCCCAAGATTAATCATGTCAAGTTTCAAGTCTGGAATCACATTTTTGCTCAGTAATTGAGCAATTGACCGAAAAATCAACTATATTGGGGAAAAAGTCAATTGTGGCCAATTTACAGTCAAACTTCATAATTTTTTATCCACGTCAACATTTTAAACTCGTAGGTATCATTTGATCAAGTTTGGACCATAATTCCTCAATAAATTTGATCAAATCTCCAAAAAGGCAAAATGGTCAAAATTTGGGTTTTGATTGAGAAAGGGCAATTTCTGATTTTTGACCTAGCAAATGGTCATTTGGTTTAAGGAATGATCTCAAGATTCCAATTGCATCATTTTGACCTAATGACATGGTTCAAAACATTACAAGTCTATTGGATTGACAGATGAATTTTGCAGTCAACTGTATACTGAAAAGTCAAACTTTGACTTTTTGGTCAAATTCAAGTGCCAAAGATCATAATTCATCAAAACATGTAAAAATATGAAACTTATTCA